ACCCTAGCCGCGCCACCAAACCAGCCCTAATCCCTTCGATTCCTACTCGATCCATGAATTTCCATGGCCGTTTGAGACTTCTACTGGTCTCCTACTTCTACTGGCTGTTCGTTTTTGTGATTTCATGGAAAGATCTCGAAGAGATCTAGTCCAGATCTTGTTCAATTGTTAAGAGTTCTTGTGTATTGTTGGATGCTTCTCGCTCTTTGTGTAACGACTCTTTAGCTAATGATGTGACTGATGTTGAGTCTTATGATAGTCCACCTTCGGGGATGATGAATGTGATGATTCTTTTGACTCTACTTGAACATTGTTGGAAGCAAGTTTTGAACTTTACGAAGAAACGAGTCAAGAAGAATGCTCTATTTCCAATCCTTTCGAAGAAAGATTCAATTGTTATGATGAAATGAGCGAATGTGAGTGTGGTAATGATTTGGTTGCGAGTAAAAAGGAAAATAAAGTTTTTGATGCTAGCACTAGTATTAATTGCTTTACTTATCTTATTCCTACTTTTGAAAGAACATTCTCGTTAGATTTTGCTAATGCTTCTATGAGAAAAGGTAAGAATGTTTCTTTTGGTGGTTTGATTGATCATTGTGAGCAAAAAGAACCTAACCTTATTGATTATTTTGTGAAGGTTCAATAAAGGAAAGTTGCTAAGGGTAAGGAAAGTCTTGAAATTAACACTTTGGCTTATTATTCGTCAAGAGCTTTTTCGTTTGGCCGAAAGCAAGAATGGTATGTACACTTGGCTTATGCTTATCTTGTGTTTATCTAAGGCCATTGAGGTAAAGATGCATAACTTTGAGTATTTTGATATTCTTTGTATGATTATTCAATGATGAACTTGGCCTATCTCTTAAGTTGCCATGTGGAGTTGTTGTTGGAAAGTATATGGATACTTGGGGATTAAAGTTTGTTTTTGACCCCGGAGTTGTTTCTTATTACGGTAAAGTGTCTTTCTTTGGATGGGAGGTATACTTTTTATTGTTTCTTATGACACTTGGTTATACCATAAAAGTGTGCACTTTGTTGAGCGTTTTACAAAATTATGTTTTTGTTGGAAGTATGAGACTTTCTACTCTCTTGATTCTTCTCATGGCTATTATTTTCGTTATAGTCAAGTTTGTGTCATTTATGTTAAAGATGTGTTCTTTCTAGATTATGACACTTGGCTATATCATAAGAGTGTTACTTTTGGGTCATACTTGTCTCCATTACTAGTCTCTCATAAAGTTGTAATATGACCTCATTGATTAAATTAAACAGAAAAAATTTACACTTTACCATATCTAGAAAAGGTCAGGTAAAACCTGACTGTTATAGTTGTAAAATTAATTACTACAATTTGACTAAATTTTCCATTATAGTGAATTAGATTCAGTGTCCATGTGTGAAATTAGTTCTCCAAAACGTATCTGAGACAGAGCTCATTGGATCAAGGAACATAAAGAGATCTTTTTAATAAGGTTCGAGGTAAGGCAGATAAATTGGTTGAAGCTGGAGGGCAGTGCAGAAGTAAGCTAAGAAAGATCAAAGAAAAACTCAAAACCTATCATCGCTTTTCGACAGATTGTTAATTACGTCTGAATCTACATTTTCACAGTAGTCAGAAGGGGGTTGGCGAGGAGGGGGAAGGATGTCATATTAATAATCCATATACCTACTTAGACTATAATTTACACCTTTAGGAAACCAGTTCAATAGATCAAAACAACAATAGAACGCGACATATATTTACAATCTCTGTACAGCAATGTGTGATAATAGACGACATTAAACTATTGATATTTCACTTTATCGTATTTTTTTCCCAATTTCTTTGTCCATATATTTGCTATTCATGCTTATTTTTTACTTTTTTCTCCGGGTGCGCCTTTTTTCATTAAAGCCCACGCTTTATTGCGCTTTGCGCCTAAAGCCCCAACGAACCTTAGAGCTTTCTTGCACTTTTCGCCTTTGATAACACTGGCTTGGATATAATTATCTTTCTTTTTAATGCTTCTTAATTGAGATTTTGCTACAAAGTGGGATAGACAATCAAGTAATTCATATCCTTCTTATAACCAGTTTGTTTTGGGCTTTAATTTTTAAAGTTGAATTTTGGGTCATGCATTTATTCAAATTAGAGCTAAATCTTTCAACTGATGGAGCACTATTTTGTTAGAGGTTTAAAAGGCTACCTACCTCTTGCTACCTAATAATCAGTTTTGTAAGAAAAGGTTTTACTTGTCAAAAAAGGGGGATGGGTGTATAAGAATAGTGTTAACACATGGTTTGATGTTCTAATATTGATCAAAGCTTCAAGAACAATGATGTTCCAAGGTTCATTCTACCCATTTGTATTCCTCATACAGCTAACCGTAATTTGCTTGTAAAAGATTAGTTCCTATCCTATAGGATCCACTACCTCTCTACTTGGAAATTAACAGCTTATTCTTGCTTGCTTAGGCTCTTATCTCTCTTGACCTATCAAGATAGATAGGCTATCTATAGTATATGAATAAATGTATAAGTTCATCAACAAGCTGTCTTTATCTCCACTTCTATTCACTATTTCCACTTAGAAACCCTCTACGTTTGTATACGATAAAAATTTGGACTGTTGCCTTGTCAAATTTGCGCAGCTTATTTGGGAAGAAGGTTGATCTTTGATATATAAAATATGGCTTACTCTTTCTTCAATCGGGTTTCTGTGGTTCAGTAATAGATGTACTGCAAATAATTGGACTGTTGCTTAGTAGTCATATTAAGATTCAGCTCATCTATCTAGACGTCAATTTTGCAAATCATAGACCAATTGCCAGATGTAAAATAGTATTGTTGAAAGGAAAAATGGAAAGTTCGCAAATAAATAAACATCTGAAACTTCTCTTGAAGGGCCAAACCTTGTAAATACAGTATTAGTCTTTCAGATAAATTCCTTGGGAATTACAGAGTCTGACAGGACTAGTGCATGCTTAAGCACGTTATGAAAATACCATACAACTGAAAATTGACAAACTTAAAAATGTGGAAGTGGAGTACCATGGAAGATGTATAGGAGTAAAAGAACTACACCAAAAAAAAGAAGAAGATGAAAGTCAAAATAGCACAGCACTCAAACATGTGAAGGATTAGAGATGCAAAAGCATCAAGTGGCAGTTTAGGTTCTATTTCAAAGGTTGCCCGCTATTTTGAACCGCCAAGCTCAAAATAAAATCTGGAACAATCTTGTTATGTACTTTTTTTTATGTGAAGAGAAGTTTCTTTCTAAGTTTCTTGTACCCTCAAATCATCTTCAACTTTTTTGTTTTTGTTATGTATTTATTTATTTAGTTCTATATTTTGAGTCAAAAAGTGAGAAGAAATGGGTCTCAGTCAAATTCATGTTAGGAAATGTCTCCAAAGTATCCAATTTGTGACAGTCCAACTTAATCTGTCATAAGATATCTCTAAGGATCTGAAGGATAAGTGGTTTTTTTCCAGCTTGTTTTGTATTTCCTTCTTTTGTGGGTCAATTATTTTCAATCCTTGTCGAGACTAGTGTGGATGGATATACATGTGCAGTGCTATGGAATTTGGTGTTTATCACTTGGATCTTAAACTTTCTCTTTATACTTGCAGGATAGCGAAATGCATCGTGGGAAGCCATTGTATCTAAATGAGGAACGCTATGCTGCCTTAACTCATATGGTATAGAAAGAACTTTGCATAATTTAATGCGGTGACTGAGTTTCTATTGTTGTACTATTTGTTAGGTGGTCTGATTAATGTCCTTGGAGGTAGTTCCTCTTATTGTGCTATTTTTTAGGTGGCCTTTTTTATGTCCTTGGAGATAAAGCAAGACAATGGGTTAAAAAAAAAGACCCGTCTATGGAGGAAAAGAGAAATAGAGAATCTTCCTTCTCTGATTATTATGGATTTAACAGAAAAAACTGTTGAAGGAACCGAAAGTAGTAGTATGGCTTAAGCTAGAGTTAATTATGTACTCCATGTGCACCTCTGAGCTTTTAAATGTCTTAAAGTGCAAACAGTTAGCCACTGCTTAGGGACCTCATTTTGCTTAGACGGTTAAATGCGCTTTCATACATATATAATGTACTGAAATTGAGCAGGTAAGACGTTAAGAGCCATTTTTTCTCGTTTCATAACGTTCATGGTTCTCTACTGCCAAATGTGCCTAAACTAGACTTATAGTAATTGCATGTCTTGTACTGTGTTGTCTTCTAATATTTTTTTACTTTTTCTTATTCCCCTTCTCTCTATCAGTTGTCCTCTTCTTTGATGTTAGTAACTACCATGATTATCTCATCATAGCAAGGAAGTTTTGTCTTGTACTTCTGAGTTCTGAAATCTAAATGAGCATAGCTATTGCTTTAAATCTGGCGCTTTTCTCTGAGAGACATTGGATCATATTTATCTTTATTCCATACCTCTAGTTATAGCAGCTTGCTAATTTATTTGAATCAACTATTTAGGTGGCTTCTCATGGACTGGATCGTAGTTCAAAGGTGCTTCGTCAGCCGAATATTGGCACTTTTTTCATGCTTTAGTTCGACTGTTTCGTAAGGTCTGGTAAAGGTCGTTTCATGATCGCCATATTCGGTATATTTGTCTTTACTTACTGACAGGTAGTTTATCTTTATTCTTATCTTGACTCTTGCAGGTTAACTAGGTCCCAGGAATTAGTCAAAGATGGTAAAAAGTTATCAGCTGTCTGGTTCTGAGTTTTGACTCAGACACAGCATGTCCAATGTTCTGCGGTCTGCTACTGTCTAATATACAGATTATCGAGGTTAGTCTATAATTTTGACGTTTTCCTATTCTGAGAAA